CTCCGACTGGATTCGTCTGAAAGAAGAAAGTCATATACACCTAGGATGCCTTGAGGGTGAGTAATTTATGGGCTAAGTTTCATTTTTGGGTGAACTAACCCTTTAACATCATTGTTTGGTAGCGTTGAATAATTGTGTCAACGCTCATTTGTCTCGAGTAGTGCTCGTTTTTTTTTTTAGTTACCGGCTTGAATTTTGACAGTATACCAGTTCCTTAAGATACTGCAAAACAAGAAAAGTGTATTTTTAATTTAAGTATTACAGCTTTTTCCTTTGTATGTTTGCATTTCAAACTATGTCGCACTATATTCAGTTGGCCGCTATGACGTATTCATTGTGTACTGAATGAAAAATTTGAAAATATAATTCCCAGTGAGCACAAACTTACCAGAATACTGAGTGCACTGTTTGTTACAGTGTCTACTTCCTTTGTCCCTTTCAATGAATCAAAACAAATTGAACGATTTGTTTGTATTATAAGCAGAAAATGACGTCCTAGAACAGCAGTACTCAAACTTTTTAACTTGAAGGCTCGCCCCTGTCAAACACAGGCTCATCTGCATCATGCAGGGGTTCCATGAGCCACACTCGCGACGTGACATTTGCAACAACGTCGCCGGAAATTTGCTCTAGTAGTCGCCAGATGGCCACAGGGGGTTCACCCTCCTCTCAAAAAATCTATATTGGGTGAAGGCTAGTCTCACCCTGCAAAGAGAAAAGGACAGCCTACTCAACTGACACGCAATCATTGCGCTAATACAAGGGCTTTAAACTATGTTAGCTATTTGTATATGCTTTTCCAAACGGTAAAGAAAAAAAAAGAAAGACCTATGGTTTTCACGGAGAGATCTTAAAGTTTTCCAGAATACAGTAAAGAGAACCCTAAAATTTACAGATGAAGACAATAGCAAAGTATGAAGAGAACCGTGCAGTTACCTGCACACACCAGTTTATCAATACGTCCTTTCTTCCATTTGAGAAGGTCTCCTCCTTTCCCACAGCCCAGGTCCAGCACGGTCACCTCTCCCCGTCTTTCCTTCACTTTGTCCATGATCTCCGCTGAAGACCAACACACAGACCTCAGAACAACAACTCTGTGAGATCCTGCTTGCCACTCCACTCAACTGAGATCATTACAATCTAGCCCAAGCACAAACAAGCATGGGCCTCCTGAAACATGATCGCTTGAGAGGTAAACGCAAGCTTGTGCTGCTTCTCACCTATGAGGACACTCTTCAACCAGTTGTTGAAGTTGCGCATGTGGACTATCCTGCTTTTATTGCGCTCTGCCAGGCCACGCTCCTGGAGTTTGTTGTAATGTGTGGCCACTTTCTGACTGTGTAACGACTCCTCGGTGACCTGCAAAACAAAAAAACATGTTTTAAAAAAACTAAACTCAAACTGAGCAGAGGACATCAGGGCTAGACAACGACACACTGGAACGTTAAAAATGCCCGTTTTCTTTTGAATATAAATTTACCCAACTATGACGACTTCTGCTTCTGAGAACCACAGGAATATGAAAAGAGCTATATTTCATGCATTTCATGAATACATATATGTTGAAGAATGTGTTTGTTTCTTCATCATTGTATGACTTGTTCACCAGTGGATGCTCTGCAGTGAATGGGTGCCGTCAGAATGAGAGTTCAAACAGCTGATAAAAACATCACAATAATCCACACCACTCCAGTCCATCGGTTAACATCTTGTGAAGAGAAAAGCTGCATGTTTGTCAGAAACAAATCCATCATGAAGACATTTTAACTTCAAATTGTCGCTTCTGGTCAGTATGAGTCCATAATCCGTAATAACACTTCCTCCAGTGGAAAAGTCCATCTCCTGTTGCTCCGCTCACATCAAAATTACTTGTTTTTTTTACTTGTAAACGGCACTTGATGTGTGCAGATTTCTCTCCTGATTCAGACAAGATGACTTTTTCACTGGAGGAAGCAATAGTACGGATAGAGGACTCATGTTTTAGCTAGAAACAACCATTTTACGTTAAAAACGTCTTAATGATGGATTTGTTTATGTGCAACTTTTCTCTTCACAAGACATTATCTGATGGACTGGAGTGGTGTGGATGATTGTGATGTTTTTATCAGCTGTTTGGACTCTCGTTCTGACGGCACCCATTCACTGCAGAGCATCCATTGGTGAGCAAGTGACGTAATGCTACATTTCTCCAAATCTGTCCCGTGAAGAAACAAACTCTTCTACATGTAGGATGGCCTGAGGATGAGCACATTTTTATCAATGAACTATTCCTGCGAGCTTACCCGCTTCTTCCTGGGAGAGTGATCTTCATCATCACCGTCCCAATGTCTCTTCATTGATGAGGAAGATGAGGATGAAGTTGAAGTCTGGGAAGCATCGAAAGCTGATCCTATGCTGTCCTGATCTCGATCAGCATATTTACTGTCCGCTTCAAACAATCCTTTGAACACACAAGCAGTGCATTAGTATTTAGGTTATAAGATATGCATTCGCCTTTTAAATACAGCAATGGACCACAGAGGGGAAAAACAACACATTCAAGGGAAAACATATTTGAAATGGAAAGCAATTCATATAAATGAAGTTTATGAAGTCAGATGAAAAGTGCAGTGCGTCAGTGTTGCGTGGATAACGAGCTGATGTCAAGCGCCATCTCGGCACGTGTTGCATCTGCTCAGAGACTGACTGAGACTGCTTGGACTTCGAAAGAGACAAACATTATACATCATATTAAGAGTGCATGTGCTCAACAGCATGATTATGTAACACAGATCGCTGAAGACTGAATCAAAGTTGCTGCACTCACTTGAGCTTTGCGCCATCATGTATCCACAAGCAGCGCCCTTCACGGATCTTTACTGCAGTATTTGTTATGAGAGACGCGCCGCAGCGCCACCTACAGGACCGGCGTATACAGCAGCACACTAGATGCCTCTTCTTGCTGCTTTTTGCCAATAATTTGTTTAATTAGTATATGGAACTAAATGCAATATGGAACGATAAGCGTTTTAAACATGTCACATCACTTCACTATGTAGCACGTGTAATTCAGCGCCTCCAGTTGGATCTCCAACATATGAAACTTTTTTAAGTACCATTTTATGGAAGTATGCTATTCTATGCATAGCCTAAGTGTAATAACATCATGAACAGCTTGTTAACTAACGTAAATAAATAAAGAGAGAGAGAGAGAGAGAGAGAGAGAGAGAGAGATACCGTAATTAGTTACTTTTTAATGGAGTAATGCAATATTGTAATGCATTACTTTTAAAAATGACTTTCCCCATATATATATATATAAACGTTTTACATAGTATTTTCAATGTATGCCGTTCACAAGCACGTGTAAAGACCTGTTTTTTTACAGTCTATGGTAAAGATCAATCTTTCGCTACTCTGCGATGCATTCTGGGAAATGTAGTTCCACAGAGACTTTGCCTCAGTTCTCATCAGCACGACTGTACCACATTACCCACAACCCAGTGCGCGCGCAGTCACCATGCGTAAAGTCGCTGCGTCTGGTCGAGGGCTCTCTGAATAACAGAAGGGACGTGAATAAAATGTGTTTGTGGTGGGGAAATTACATCATGCCGGACTTAGTCACTCATGTATGTAGCTGTGCAAATTTCCGATGATCGTTAGTGTATGATTAGACAAAGGACGAGGGAAATGTTGATTAGTTTAGCTAGCAGGTCAGTCTGTAGACATCCCTTAGCAAAGCTAGCTGACTCACGTTTGGTGAATATCGTAACACTTCACACAAGTTGATTCTAAACATTTGAGCTTTAAATACGATTGTTTTTGGAGGCCCGCCTGTGATATTCTTCCTCTAGAAAGTTTCTTTCTAAATGTGACTGAGCATGTCCAGCTAATGTTTTTCTTTCATGTTTTCTTCAGGCGTTGAACCAGCACCAGTGACGTCATTACTGACGGGGATGTTGAAGGTAGGAAAATAAGTCAAGCTCAATTAATCTTAAATCTGGTGCTTCTCCTAGATTTGAAGTGTTCAGAGGAGTTCGCCAGGGTTGCCCAGTCTCACCATACCTGTTTGTAATAGCATCCCAGCTCCTCACCTCTTATTTGTTGAATAGTAGTTTACAAGGTATCAATATAGCTGATAATCATATTCTCATAAGCCAGTTAGCAGACGACACCACTCTCTTTCTAAAAGATGATTCACAGATCCCTGTTGCTATAGATTGTATTAAAGTGTTTTCTAAAGCCTCTGGCTTAACTTTAAATCTAGATAAATGTGAGCTGCTTGCCATAAAGTCCTGCTCTGCCTCTTCCCTTTATAATATCCCTGTTAAATCTCATGTATGTTACTTGGGTATAACTATTTGCAAAGATGACAATATTAGAGGTAGATTAAACTTTGATCCAGTAGTGGCTAAAGCTAAGAAAAAATTAAATTCCTGGCTCCAAAGGGACTTATCTTTAAGAGGAAGGGCACTCCTTGCCAAAGCTGAGGGTATTTCGAGAGTGACCGAAATATTTCCTGCTCTCTCTTTGTATGTGGATAAGTCTATCTGTGTTGAGGTTGATAGAATGCTTTTTGACTTCCTTTGGAAACATAAATAAATAAAGGAAGAAGAAGAAAAAAAAAAAAAAGAAAATAAGTCACGTCAGCGGATATGATGTGTATTGTAGAATCTTCAGGGTGTGTCTGTTTTCAACCCAAGAGTAAGTGAAGTTACCAGCTTAACATACAATCAGGCGTAAACACATTGTAATGCACTGCAGGAAATATGGACAAATCCTTAGTACTCTTGAAAAGTAAAGTTAAGTAAATATTAATAAACATTGTGAATGTAAATATATGTGCTTCAGATATCAGTGTAATACCAAAAGTAAATTGTGGCACATACTGATGTGGTTACCACTATTTTGATTTTGATTATTATTATTATTATTTTAAATAATAACAACAAATTGTCAGATAACATTTTGTAAATGTTAATAATAGCAGCAGCACTCGGGCTAACATGAACTAAAATAATTCAATGAGCATTTTGAGCTTGTATTTATATATTTATTTTATATTCTTTTTTTTAGGTAACCCAGAAATAGTGCAGAATTGTTTCCATTGATAATGTTGTTTCCTGCTTTTAAAAAAATAAAAATAAAAATACTTTTATCAAAATAAATAAATACATTTATTATGTTTGTTCTTTTTAAATTCTCTTTTAAATTTCTTAAAACATTTCTGGGTTTAAGTAGTAATAATAACAATAATTTAAGTAGTCTAGTGCTGTCAAATGATGAATTGCGATTAATCGCATCCAAAATAAAGGTTTTTGTTTACATAATATATGAGCGTTCTGTGTATATTTATTATGTATATATAAATACACACATACGGTATATAGTGAAAATATTTACATGTCTATAATTATATTCATATAATTTATATTATAAATAAATATATTTAATATATAAAAAGAACATATTTTTCTTAAATATATACATGCATGTGTGTGTATTTATATATACACATAATAAATATACACAGTACACACACACATATATTATGTAAACAAACTTTTATTTTAGATGCGATGAATCGTTTGACTGCACTAAAGACCATCTCATACTACTGACCATCTGTTTATATCTTCTTTCGTGCCATTTGTGAATTTGTCTTCTTTACTCTGCATTTTTGTGAGCTGTATTTAGTCAGGCCCCTGTCAGACTGTGCTCTTGTTTCTCTGTTGGCAGACGGCTGGGAGCAGAAGCTTGTTTGGGATGCAGCGGTTAGTGTGTGCTAGAGTCCTGCTGCAGATCAGTGGTGCGTCCTGCAGCCGTCCCACACAGATGCTGGCTCCCGCGGCCCGCGGCTGCTGGACACGCCTGCGCCCCGGCCCGCGGTGGCTCTGCTCTCCGGCCTCTCAGAGGAACAGCAGCAGAGATCGTCCAGGGCAGGAGGATCCGGACCCTCTGCAGGACAAATCCAGCGGCCTCATTCAGAGATTCAAGAAAACCTTCAAGCAGTACGGCAAAGTCATGATCCCTGTGCACCTGCTGACCTCTACAGTGTGGTTTGGCACTTTTTACTACGCTGCAATGAAGTGAGTAGATGATGGATCACAGTTATGCTAGTTTAGGTCCGAGGCTATGATGGATGGTCAGATACTCAATAACTTGTTAATCAAAGATCACTGAAGAAATCACACACACACAAAAATAATAGTGATGATAACTAGCTATGGGTTATTAAAGCAATAAGCCCCAAGAAGCCGTGGTTTACAGTGAATTTATAACAGCTAAGGGGCGTTTTTAGGCACGACGCGAAGCGGAGTTCACTGTAAACCACGGCTTCACGGGGCTTATTGCTTTTATAAAACGGTTATTCCATATACGTAGTTAGGTTTCACAGAATAAAACAGAGCAAATAAAGTGTAATGATATTAATAAAAACAGTATTCTTCCACCAAACAATGTAGTTCCTCAGAAACAGTTGTGGTTGCACAAAGTAAACACACGAAGTAAACAAAGGTGTATGTTTGTAGAGTAATTTACAACAGCTTCGAACGCGGCTCAGCCAATCAGAATCCGCTTTATAATTAATAACTGGTAATAACATCAAATAGGGCTGCACGGTTTGGGGGAAAATCTAGTTGCAATTTTTCGGATAAAAAATTGTGATTGCAGTTTGGAGAAAAAAATCCACGTTTGCTGTACTTATTTTTAGGGCCGCACAATTTGGCCATGATTTTGTGATTGGGTATTATTGACAAACTCAGGGCTTAAAGTTCTCCGGCACCGTGCCGGATCTCCGGCGTGCAGCGTTTGGCTGCAGAAAAAATAAATCCTACATTAAAAAAAACTTGTTGATATCACTTTTGAGTCCATGAGTTCGCCTACCAATGGTATGAGAGGAGCACAGCTTTCACTCTCAACCAAACTAACATTACTAGCCAATCAGAAGTTTTTGCTCTTATAAACACGAGACGAGCATAATGGTATCCAATTGCAGAGTCGCAGCCCTGATGAATGGAGAAGTGCGACATGTTAAAAAAGCTGCGAGGCGCAATGGTCCTTTGACGCATATTTACATAGAAAAACTAATTAAAAAGCAGCAGAGCTTTGTAAACAGCTCAGAGTAATCATGTCATCTCCATAAGAACGTCAATCAAGAAATATGATTGCCAGAACATACCGTATTGACCCGAATATAAGACGATGTTTTTTTCTAGGAAATACATCTGAAAAAACGCGGTCGTCTTATATTCAGGCTCTAGACTTTGACATGTCAATAATACACCCACAACAATAGGTGGCGCCAAATACACATAAAACGAGTGTGCCATGAAATACGTAAATGCGTGTTGTAAAGATCGCGACCAAACTCCCTTTGTGATTTTAAAACGTAAGACAGTACCCAGATTTGAAGACTACAGTAAGATTTAACTTCTACTGTTAATAAGATTTTGGTAGGCTACTATTAGAAGGATAGCCTAAATGTCCTAATTCAGATGGGCTACCTGTTTTTTTTTTTTT